AAATTGAAAGAGAAGACCATCTCCCAGTCCCTCCCAAAGGTAGCCCACCTGCTCCTCGTAAATATTTGAGTAATTTAGCAGACGCTCTTATCCAGGGACTTACAGTTAGTAATGTAGTAATGTAAAGAGATGAGGGAGTGGGTGACATTTAACAGTTGTTATGTTATATTCTTTAGTAATGTAGTTGTATTATTGTTATTATAGTGTATTATTGTGTATAGCGTTGTGTATGTACTTACAGGTCTAAAGGAAGTGAACACTTTGTCCAGGACCTCTAGCAGTGTTTTCTTCCCACAGGAAGAGATGTAGTCCTGAGCTAGCTGGAGGAACGGCAGGCAGTCCTCACTCTCACTCCATACATGCTGTAGACAGACACACACACAGGTTATTAACCTAACCCATTTAGCCACATTGCCACATTATTACCATAATACTGTTCAAAGGTAGATATACTGTATATTATATGGTAGATGTTGTAGATATGAGGTCAGTGAACAGCCAGCAGAAGTAGAACACAGAGAGAGATAACACCTTCAGAACAGTAGAACACAGAGAGAGAGAACACCTTCAGAACATTAGAACACAGAGAGCAAGATAACACCTTCAGAACAGTAGAACACAGAGAGAGATAACGCCTTCAGAACAGTAGAACACAGAGATAACACCTTCAGAACAGTAGAACACAAAGAGAGAGATAACACCTTCAGAACAGTAGAACACAGAGAGAGATAACACCTTCAGAACAGTAGAACACAGAGAGATAACACCTTCAGAACAGTAGAACACAGAGAAAGATATAACACCTTCAGAACAGTAGAACACAGAGAGATAACACCTTCAGAACAGTAGAACACAGAGAGAGAGAGATAACACATTCAAGGTCAGGAGACCAAGTAGGAGTGTTACAGCAAAAACTACTGCTCTAGTTCCACACACACACACACAGACGTAAGTGAATCACACAGGCGTAACTGACCGGGGTTTGATCCCGTGTGCTACAAGACTGTGTTAGCCTCCTGAACTAAAGCCTTGGCACACCGATGATCTTTCCAGGATTGGCCACCCCTATTTACTACCCCCTGTGTGTGTGTCTCCCCCTGCTGATAGCAGTATTGATCGGCATGGTAACAGGATCTCATCTGTCAGTGTGTGTGTGTGTGCGTGTGTGAGGGAGATGGGTGAAATGGGTTTGTTAGTTGGGATATTGAAGATCAGGGAGGGGGGCCCCTACAGCTCTGCCAGGGTGGGCTATAGGAGAGTGTCTGAACAGAGAACCAGCGATAGATGGGTAGATCAGACCTGTCTGTCAGTCCAGATACATTGCTATAATAGGAGGTCTGTCCAGATACAGGGCTATAACAGGAAGTCTGTCCAGATACAGGGCTATAACAGGAAGTCTGTCCAGATACAGGGCTATAACAGGAAGTCTGTCCAGATACAGGGCTATAACAGGAAGTCTGTCCAGATACAGGGCTATAACAGGAAGTCTGTCCTGATACAGGGCTATAACACGAAGTATGTCCTGATACAGGGCTATAACAGGAAGTCTGTCCAGATACAGGGCTATAACCTGAAGTCTGTCCAGATACAGGGCTATAACAGGAAGTCTGTCCAGATACAGGGCTATAACCTGAAGTCTGTCCAGATACAGGGCTATAACAGGAAGTCTGTCCTGATACAGGGCTATAACAGGAAGTCTGTCCTGATACAGGGCTATAACAGGAAGTATGTCCAGATACAGGGCTATAACCTGAACTCTGTCCAGATACAGGGCTATAACCTGAACTCTGTCCAGATACAGGGCTATAACAGGAAGTCTGTCCAGATACAGGGCTATAACCTGAACTCTGTCCAGATACAGGGCTATAACAGGAAGTCTGTCCAGATACAGGGGTTGTAACAGGAACTCTGTCCAGATACAGGGCTATAACAGGAAGTCTGTCCAGATACAGGGCTATAACAGGAAGCATTAGCCCCTACATGAAGAAAAAACAAATCCACATTATGCAGGAGCTGAGTGACTCTCTATGTCCATTACATGGTTACATAAAAAATGTATACAACATGAAGTATTACTGGCAGTTGCTTATGATGGGATGCACGCTCTGAGTCCTTCTAGGCTCCGCTAGGGCGGCTGCTGACTATTTAACGCCAGACGCCGAGCCAAACGAACTGTGGTCCCGCCCTCTGGCCCCGGCCGGCTGATGGAGAGTGGGGACTAGAGAGCAGCGGACGCTTCTCTAACAAAACAACAACAGCACTGCTATTGCAGGCTATGCGCAGGACAGGCGGCCCCTATATAATGCGGCCAAAACAACATGCGCGCCAGGCGTGCTATAGTCCGGTGCACCAAACCAAACTGCAGTGACATCATTCCCGTTGCACACACACTGTCACATACTGCGCCTGGGGCCCCGAGAGGCAAACCCCAAAACACCGCAACCACACACACGTGCGCGCGCGAACACACACTTACGAAATGCTCGATCCCTCCCGTCATGTTATCCCGACAAAGGACATAGAAGGAAATTCCCGGTTCTGTGTAGAAGTACAGTCTTATCTCATCATCCTCCTCCGCGAAGATCAGATCGAACGGAACCGACGAACACCACTTCTCCGCCACCTCCACCAGCTGCTTAAACTCCATCTCTCTCTCTCAATTCAATGCTCTCTCTCTCTCTCTCGCTCCCCTCCGCTCTCTCTGTCTCTCTCTCTCTCAATTCAATGCTCTCTCTCTCTCTATCTCTCTATCTCTCTCTCTCTCTCTCTCTCTCTCTCTCTCTGTCTGTCTGTCTCTCTGACACTATTTTTCTTTCTCTCTCTTTGTCCTCCTCTCCGTTAGTCCTGCCCGTCTGTGGGAGTCCGGATCGCCGTATAGGCTAGTATGTGATCTCGTGCACTCCCGTTGATGCTGCTGTCTCTCGGTAAATAAAAACAGCTGACCGGACATACATTAGCTTACAGTTTCACCTAACCGTGCCATCCGCATGGCGAGAGAGACAAGATCTCTTCACTGTCGCATTACACTTGCGTCACGGTATTCGGTAACGATAAGGTGTTTTCTCACACCCTCAGCCTTTCTTTAGTCCATTAAACTATGAGATCAGCGGGAAGCGATCGGTTCTGGGGTTGCATAGCCTACACACGTTACGCGCACGGCCTGGAACTTTAATACGTCCGGTTAACAATTCAACACCATGACGACAGGCTGAGAAGCTGCACGGAGCTGTCATCGATAAATTCCGTGCTGTATTCTCAACGGAGCATGGGAATAGCCTAGGGTGTGGTTTCAGATGCATTCCCTATAATACATTAATTGTATTCTATATAGGCCTATATGCCCAATTGTATTTTATAGGCACTGTCTATAAATGTTATATAATAACGAAAAGTAAGTGTAATCACAACAGGCTAAAAGCTGTAGCCTATGCTAGGCTACTTATTGCAATGATGTTAGGCTAACTAACTCCTTTTACCAATGTTGTTTAGGCTCCTGAAGTTTATTTCCACAACCTCTTGCCATCTGAATGAATGCGGGCTGTTTTTCAGTTCACAAACCTTCCAGAAAGCGCACAGAATATGGGTGTGTAGGCTACCATAAATAAATATTGTACAGCAGGGTTCCCCAACTGGCGGCCCGCGGGCCGAATTTGGTCCGCGTGTGGTCTCATTTGGCCCCCTAAGTTTTCTGAGCAAAAAACAAAACAAAAAATAACGTTTTTTATATAATTTTTTCTTTTTATTGTTGGACATAAAAGATTGTAAAAACACCAGGAAATCAGCTCCAAATGATTTTAATTTAAGAAATCTGTTCCCAAGTATTCCCTTGCATAATAGAGAGACACGTGATCATATAAATCAAATCAAATTTTATTTGCCACATGCGCCGAATACAACAGGTGTAGACATTACCGTGAAATGTTTACTTACAGCCCTTAACCAACAATGCATTTATTTTTTAATAAAAAGGTAAAAGAAAACAACAACAAAAAAGTGTTGAGAAAAAAAGAGCAGAAGTAAAATAAAATAACAGTACGGAGGCTATATACAGGGGGGCACCGGCTAGTTGAGGTAGTTGAGGTAATATGTACATGTGGATAGAGTTAAAGTGACTATGCATAAATAATTAACAGAGTAGCAGCAGCGTAAAACTATGGGGTGGGTTGGGGGGGCAGTGCAAATAGTCCGGGTAGCCATGATTAGCTGTTCAGGAGTCTTATGGCTTGGGGGTAGAAGCTGTTGAGAAGCCTTTTGGACCTAGACTTGGCGCTCCGGTACCGCTTGCCGTGCGGTAGCAGTGAGAACAGTCTATGACTAGGGTGGCTGGAGTATTTGACAATTTTGAGGGCCTTCCTCTGACACCGCCTGGTATAGAGGTCCTGGATGGCAGGAAGCTTGGCCCCAGTGATGTACTGTGCCGTACGCACTACCCTCTGTAGTGCCTTGTGGTCGGAGGCCGAGCAGTTGCCATACCAGGTGGTGATACAACCAGTCAGGATGCTCTCGATGGTGCAGCTGTATAACTTTTTGAGGACCTTCGGACCCATGCCAAAACTTTTCAGTCTCCTGAGGGGGAATAGGCTTTGTCGTGCCCTCTTCATGACTGTCTTGGTGTGTTTGGACCATGATAGTTCGTTGGTGATGTGGACACCAAGGAACTTGAAGCTCTCAACCTGTTCCACTACAGCCCCGTCGATGAGAATGGGGGCGTGCTCAGTCCTCTTTTTTTTCCCTGTGGTACACAATCATCTCCTTTGAAGCAAGGTTTGAAATTATTATGTTTTAGTAAAACATTATATCTGTTTGGGCTTCTTGAGGTCAATTTGCAGTCTACAAATTATTTGTAATTATGTTCCGGCACCCGAACATCCCCTCAACAAAAAATGAATCTAGTTCATGATCCATGCTGTACAGTGTGGACCTGACATAGGTTCAGTACAGTTTCTGACCGCTAGGTGGGAGCAGCACCCAATCTATATTGCCCCTCTCTTGTGAAATGAACCACTAGGCCACCGTCAAACGATGATCACATAGATATGGCTCTGTCTGCGTTTCAAACTCAAAGTAGACAGCCATTGTCCCATCCGAGTGTACCTTAAATGGCCCTTGCCGAAGCGAGGGAGAGTGAGGATCGGAGAGGCAACGTCCTTGGTGGAAATCTTGAAATTGAGCCTATAAACAACCAACCTAAAGCTATTAATGTACCTAGTAAGCTAACGTATCTAGCTAGCACTCCTGTCAGGTAGCTAGCTACAGTTACCCATAGCTGGCTAGCTAGTTTTTAGTTTGGTTATTTATTCGATTACATTTCAGAATTCCCAAAAATATGTTTATGAATCTAGCTACGTTTTATAGGCTCCTCACTACGAGACTAAGCCAATTTGCCAACGCTAAAATCAATGTCTAGCTAGCTATCAATGTCTAGCAAGCTAGCTTCATACTTTTCTCTGACATGCCGAAAATGCAGCCTTGTTGATTAAATTTGACACTTCGCGGGCACCAGAGTTTGACATGTGACAACAGTTTGCGTTGAATTGTGGGTCATTTCAACCCCTTAATTGACCAAAGTTGTACACTAGTTCCCTCGAGCTAAATAAAGGGTAGAGGGGGTAACGTTAGTGAATTGGAACTCCATTTAAGATTGCAATCAAACTGCATCCGGTTTCAACTGGGATTCCCCGAGGGAAAGTGGCTAGCGCAAGGGCTGAAGGAGTAAAAATAACGTGTTTGGACTGCAGCCTCAGAAAACTGAACTGTATGGGGAGGTTTCACGGACATAGATTAAGCTTAATCCTAGACTAAATTGCATTTTTAAACTGGACTATCTAAAATTGCATTTCTCAGACATGGTTAAAAATAGTCTCAGACTTGCCCTAGTTTAGATTTAAAAAGTCTGATTTCCAGAAGGAAGATTAGAGTTAACCGAGATCTAAAATGGATTACCTGGACTATTTCAATGATGATCAAAGAGCACCACCAGAAGGGTGGGTATAGACTGAGTAACCCACTGAATTATTTTTGTTTAAATCAATTTCCGTGACTGTTTCCATATGTACAAAGAAAATGCAGCTGACATAATTTGTCTGCTTGAGCCAAGGCTTTCATCTGACTCTCTCTTAGGGGAAGGCCCATACCTCCTTCCCTACAAGTACTGATCACATTGAGGTTTTTGGCATCTGGAACCTTCCATCGTGAAACAGGAGATTTGTGTGGTGTAAGTGAACAGAGGAGTAGAGGAATAAAAACTGCTTCTCAATAAATGTAAAAAGTGTGTGCACTCCCAATTTGCAGACCTCCAACATTGTTGCATGTTGCACTCTAAAACTTTGTATGCTCAGCTTGAAGGAGGACACCATAGGGGAATCATACTTGGTGACAGTGGGTATGCACAGACCAACTTCTTGTTCACCCTTTATCTTCATGCAATAGGACCTGAGCAACAACGGTACAACCAAGCTCATATCCGCACCAGAGGTATAGCGGAGCACATGTTTGGTGTATGGACGAGTCGTTTCCAGTGTCTCAGAAACACACTGGGCTTTCAACCAAGAAGAGGCTGCATTGTCATAATTTCAACAGCAGTGCTTCACAATTACCTCATCCAGCATGGCTGCCAAGATCAATGACCTCAAACAGCATGACTGCCCAGATCAATGACCTCAAACAGCATGACTGCCCAGATCAATGACCTCAAACAGCATGACTGCCCAGATCAATGACCTCAAACAGCATGACTGCCCAGATCAATGACCTCAAACAGCATGACTGCCCAGATCAATGACCTCAAACAGCATGACTGCCCAGATCAATGACCTCAAACAGCATGACTGCCCAGATCAATGACCTCAAACAGCATGACTGCCCAGATCAATGACCTCAAACAGCAGGACTGCCCAGATCAATGACCTCATCCAGCATGGCTGCCAAGATCAATGACCTCAAACAGCATGACTGCCCAGATCAATGACCTCAAACAGCATGACTGCCCAGATCAATGACCTCAAACAGCATGACTGCCCAGATCAATGACCTCAAACAGCATGACTGCCCAGATCAATGACCTCAAACAGCATGACTGCCCAGATCAATGACCTCAAACAGCATGACTGCCCAGATCCTCACACTGAACATGAGGATGACCCAGATGTTCCCGGGGTTGAGGCACACAATGACAGAAATGGACATGCCTGCAGAGACGCTTTTGCTATGCTGCACTCCTCACAACAAAGACAGCTCAAATGATTGAAGCAAACAATTGCCATGGATTTATAACAAAAAGGTTTTTAATTCACAAATGGAAATATCACAATCCTCCCTCCTGGCTGCTGCAGATGTAGTGGGCTGACCTTCATCCTGTCTTATCCCCTCCAAGCTATGGTGATCATCTATCTCTAGAAAATTAGAGAACATTACTTCTTCAAGAGTTAAATTCATTAAATCATTTTTATTATGGGAGTGCAAGAGATGACTGACAACATTACATATTCCCTGCAGTCCGGG